ATTTCCGTGTACAATTAGAAACAAATTTTACTGTTGTGACCTTCGGAGTTCTCACTGTAGTACCCAAGTTTTATGCTTATATCAGTCAAGAGATAAGTTGTACAGTATTCTTATATATTGAATTTGACATTTATTCAGTGGTAAAAATATATTCGTCATCTGAGTGCACTACTTAGTCACAAGCCTTTTACTTCGAGTTCGTTTATCTGCACTTACACGTTAGGTAGAGTACTGATCAGGGTTACCCTAGGAAAGCAAGTTTAGTAGGTGCTAACGTTATAAGGACTCTCTCAAAGTTGATGGCGGCACTTACAGAGGCGTTAGTTCAAAAACCGATGGCAGCTGAACAGGGATAGTCCAGCTCCTACAGTTGGTTTTTTGTGGTTTATTAGAGTTAGGGTTTCTTCCTTGACTTTATTCCTCTCCTGCTGACTTTAGGAAGAAATGAAATATGCTACTCATTTCAAATCTCATCCCGTGGAAATATACGGCTGAAAAATGCTGGGGTTCATCCATAGTCGTGCACCAATGTTTCTCATGTATAAACTCAGTCCACCGCAACAGACTTTTCATGCACCAGACCAGGAATCGCATATCATGTGAAAAAAGCTAATAATATTGCCTATTACTTAGACTGAGTTAGGGCGGGCTTGAGACAATTTCTTCGAGTGAAATTTTCACTTCTACTTCGTGTTGAGGTCTCTAAGGACATAGGTGACAGTTCAAAAATGCTTTGCAAATTGGTTTCCATATTGTACATTATATCGTCCCCCAATTAAGACAATTTCATTAATGTTAGCCGTTACGAAAGACTCACTTAATGGACTTTGATGACCAGTCAGAATAGTTAAACTCAAGTGGTAGACATTAAATCATACTCATCATTTAACAGCTGTTTTCACTCCAACGCTACACTTGTTATCTGGGCAAAAATTTGGTTGACTCTTTAGGCAAGTCGGTCGTTTCCGTCACTGCTATTGAAAATCAGGATGTATCTCTGATTTGCAGGCAATTTAATTCTTTATTTTTTAAAATCTAAATATCCAGTTCCTTCGCATTGTTTCAAAATTAGAATGTCTGCTTTAATGTGCGTACAACCTATGGTTGTGAGGAAACCAAACATTTTTAAGTCCGGAAAAAAGCGCATTAACCTAATTTTTAACGTGTATACGTCGTGAAACGAAAACACTTGCATGTGTTCAAAAGTATACATTATCTTAATCTCAGATGTACCTGAATACATATCAGTCGGCAGATATCATGTTTAGTTTTAGCTACGAAGTCAACGTCGATTTAGTATATTGCCCCCTGATCAACTCATTCAATAGAAACCCATTCATCTGCATACTGGTTGGCGGGGAGTCATCTGCAGTGAAGACAGCCAGTGTTGTTCCTATGTGTAGACGTAGCGATGGATTTATCTCTGCCCAGCTGCAGAAATTTTTTCGGACATCACATATGTAAGCAAAGGAGTGGGCAGACTTCCGTTTTGGACTGGGCTACTTTCCGATATGAAAATTGCTAAATGGTAAAAATTGAGTGATTCTTTCTTATTAGACCTGATAAAAGTGAGTAGAAAAGTGGCATGCGAAAATTTTAGCGACCATGGCAAAAAAGGTGAAGGGTGGGGAAAACCGGGCAATTTATTTTGCATTTTGCCAGCTTCTCTGCCTATCCGAATTGTGCCCGTTTGCCCCACGTCTCTCCCACTTGTCACCTGTCCATCATCCGACTGGTGGTGGTTGGGTTCACAATGCAATTGACTGACTCGATATCAGCTTAGTGTATTGCTGATTTTGAAGTGTAGTGGTACATTTATTTTTTGAGGAAAGATGGGACAAAATACTGAGTTCTGCTTCCTGGCGTGTGCGTTCTCTGATCTGGATGGTTTACTTGCGTAGCATTTATTGCCTTACTGCGCGACATCCTCAGTGCATACTTTAATTTCTCCACGAGTTTGCTAGACTTCTCCTTGTAACTTCAAACGTGATTGGTTGTTTTTGTGTTTCCATACCCTCTAAGCCATTTGTATTGATGTTGAATGTTACCTTGACCTGAAGTTTAACTTTTTTTCATGTGGTTTCTTTCTCATGGATTAGTAAATGTGTGTCAATGTGTCTATTATTTGCCAATTCACTTGGATTCCAGACATCTGCAAATTCTCTGGAGATTTCAGTGTCTTCTCTATCTTAAATTTGAACGTTTTCCCAACTAAATTTGTCTGTGATTGTCTGTATGTGGTAATATGAGCGAGTGGATATCATACCTTTCGACGGTCAATTTATATTCTTGTATGCGGAGACGAAGAGGGCGTCCACTTTGGCTAATGTAGTGTTTTTCACAATTGTTGCAATTTTGGGTGTGATGTTGGTTTTATCTTCTTTCTCTATTGAGTACTTTGTTTGACATAAAACCGAGGGAAGCGATTTTGTTATTCTGTAGGTGGCATCAATTCCTAAAGGTTTGAGGTCTTGCAGTGATTTTTGAGACGTCTTTTATATATCGTAGGATGGTTTGTTTGTATTATTATTTTTCTTGGGGACCTTTGATTTGGTAGGTTGGGTTGGAGGTATATATATATTTTGATGAATTTCCGTGACATCCATTTTTTGGAAGACGTCCATGGGCTATTTTTCTCCAGTTTTCGTTAAGGTGGGAGTGCTACAATGTGTTCGGGCTCTCTTGAATAGTATTTGTGTACAACCTGTTTTCTGTTGTTGCATTGGGTTGTTGCTGTTGTGATTGAGTATTTGGTCTGTGTGAGTTGATTTTCTGTGTACTTGAGTTTCCAATTTTCCTGTAGTGTCGGTTGAGTAAAGCGTCTAAAAGTGAAATTTTGTCCTCGTACTTCTCTCCTCATGTGTCGCCGAAGATGTTTAAGTTGTGAGTTTTGTCTAAGTTGTTTCTTCTGTTTATCACGAATTTGTCATCCACGTGAAGTATCCAAATTTTGGGTTTGGTCTTCGGTAGGATTATGTTTCTGAGTTTGAATCACAGCTCCACTAGCACTCCATGCTATCCTTACGTCTGCGAGTCCACGCGAATCAGGTGAATTTTTCAGACTCACCTTGCTGGTCATGTGGATTACCACATTTGGGTCTACTATGTGTGTCAGTGGCACAGCGGTAGAGTGCTCGCCACCCCTCAGGTGGTCCGGGTTCAATCCCCGACCAAAGCACTCCTTTACCTCGGTAAGCCAGTAATAAGCTTCTGTCTGTCAGACAGATAAACAATAAGCCTTTGACTTGAAGCTCTATGTTCCACTGGGAACGTAAAGGAATAAAAGGTGTCTCTGAAACACAACATTCAACGATGCCTCGAGATGCCAGAGTTCTGGCTGGTGATTCCTGTTGTCCGACATAGTAAAGGGTCTTGATGCTCCACTATAAAGTTGATAGCATGGTTTCTTGAGACATTTAGTGTTTTTCTGGTTCTCATTGTCCACTTACGGTCTCAGAGTTGAGTTGACAGTGAGGGGCAATGGAGACAAAAGTGGTTGATGATCAGGAGAGCTTAGTGTGCTTCTGGAAGTGTGGTGGTGGTATTTCCTTTCTATAACGTGGAAGTAGATTTCTTCTTGTGTGTTACCTGAAACACAAGGACCATAATGTTGCGTGATCGCAGAGCCCAGGAGATAACTGCTTCAAACTGGTTACACACAACTTGTTTGAAGTGGATCTGGAGTTGTGTGTCCGTCGGTGGCACAGTGGTTAGGACTCTTACCAACCATGCACATGGTCCGAGGTTCGATCCCCTGCCAACACACACCTGATATCTATGGTCGGCCTGCAAAATTTGGGCTACCGACATCCATGCTAAAAATTCTATACTTGTACCAAAAATACAGTGTGGAATCAAGCTGTAATAAAAAAAGATCATACTACCAACTACGAACCACCGCAAGGTAAATTGGAATACACAGTTTTCGTGGACGTCTGAGGAGAGTCCTTTACTGTTGTTACATCCCTGTTCACCAACAGTACGCTGCAATGTACTGGTAGTGCTGTCAATTACCTACACTGCCGATCTCTACTTGATGCTATTTACCTATTTACCCAATTATACAGTACCTAACCTGTAAGTACTGACGACAAAACGCAAATTAAAAAAGACTTGGATATTAGGGAAAATGTGTTCAAGTGCGGGGTATATTTGAGTGAGATAAAAAGTAACGATTACCGAAGGATAAAGGTCTAGAACTTATTTAACGGATATGGCTTTACTTACAAACTCAATGAATCGGCGTATAGACAGCACAACGGGAAAGCGCAAAAAGTGGCATTGACACCAGTTCGTGTATGTACAAACTAAAAGAGAGTCTTGAACGCTGGGATGTGCACTACAACGCCTTCGCTCATCGTTCCCGAACATAGTTTAACGACCTACACTATGTTGACGACTGCTTCAAGCCTAAACACGTTTCTGGGGTGATAGGACCTGGCAGACACATTAGTTCCTGCTAGTGTAGCTTGTTGAGTCATCCCAATATGTAAAAGCACTACCACCACCACCACGTCAAGGTAGCCGCTTTCGGTCGGTAAATTAATATAGAGATTTGTGTTGAAACATAGAGAAATCCCTGATGCACACTGGACACACTCACCAGTGACTGTCACAAAATCTTACATTGCACTATATCTCCTACCAAACTATTTCTTGTCACTGAAGGCAACTAAGTTTTTCAGGAATTGTTGTTGTTGTAAACTCTGTTGTACCATAAAATATTTTGAAGGATTATAGAGTTGCTTTGTTAAGAAATGTAAAATGCTAATGAGCTAATTGGTTAGTGCTTGGTGTGCGACAGCGTACCAATGTCCAATGATAAATTGGAAGCCAACAATTTGCTGTTTGTTTTCCTGTACGAGTATGTCTTTGTACTATGGTGGAATGTGTGTGTGTGTGTTCTTGATCCTAGCTTTTCATCTTTATCTCTTCATCTTTACAGGTGTCCTCAACCTTGTCCAAACGAATTCCTCTTTTTCATTACTGCTTAAGTCACCATGAAGAGAGCTGGGAAGTCAAATGATACGGAGCCTCTACCCAAAATCTCTAAAATGAACGATGCCCTGTTTGCTGCTGAAGGTGAAGTCGTTAGTTGGCAAGTATGTTACTTTCTATTGTTCAACTTGTAGCCACATTTAACAAGTGTTGCTTATATGTTATTAGTTTTGTTATTACATCGATTAAGATCATGACTCTGGTAACATTTATTCTTAAAAAGCAAGTGTTTTTCTTTTCATTTAACCCCACATTTGGCCACACTTTTGCTGCCCATTCTGTTTTCCGCAGACTGGGATCTAACATATTTAAAGTACGGTGATCATTTGATTGGTTGAATATTATTATTATTATTCCCTTTGGTTCTTAGTGGAACATAGGGCTTCAACTTCACGTCTCCATTTGCCCCTTCTGTCTTCCTTCTGCTGTACTTTTCACCTGCATCCATGTTAGTTAGTTCATACTGTTTCAGCTCCTCTTCACATGATCTCCATGTCGCCTTTGGACGTCCCACTCGCCTCTTTCCTTTCGGGTTCCACTCGAGCAATGGCCTGACGTGCAATGTCACCAACCGGACTCCTCAACGAGTGTCCAATCCATCTCCACTTTCTCCTGCATATTTGTGGGGCGATTGGTTCTTGTTTTGTTTTGTTTTTTCCCATAGTTTCTTGTTGACGATTCTTTCCAGCCCGGCTATCTGATCTTCAGTATAGAGTGAAGACTGTTGTTGGTAAAGGTCTGCAACAAGCTGTTGGTGGAAATATTGTTTGTGACCCGCCCGCCAAGTTTCTTATCCGTATAGAAGAGCTGACTGACTTCACGTTTGTATTGAAAATCCGACTGCATTTTGTTGTTGATGGTGGCTGAGTGACGAAGATTTTCAGATTGATTTCAGGTTGACGAATGTGTTTCTCGCCTGCCTTCCCGATTTTCGCTCGATTTGACATCCTCGTCCGTTCCTCCTTCCTGTAGTTGAGGCAATGCCCCGAGATCAGTGAGTGAATGAAGTAACGTTTTTCAAATCCCTCCCGTTGATGGTGATTGACGCTGGATGTTGCCGCTGTTATTGTCGGTTGGTTATTTTCATCACCTCCGTCTTGTCTATGTTCACCTGGAGTCTTGTCTTCTCCGGCTGCTTCTTCGACCAGTTTGTTGGTTTTCGCTTGTAAGTCTTCGATTTTGTGTGAAATCAAACATAAATCGTCCGCGAAATCCAGGTCTTCTAGGTTCCTCACGTCGGTCCAGGATATTCCTGTCTTCTCGTTCCCCACTGTCTGACGCATAATCCCGTCAGTCCACCACAATTAGGAATATCATTCATTGGTGATAATAAGTATCCTTGTCTGACTCCTGTGTTTACTCCAAACGCCTCGCTGAGTTTCCCCCCGTGTGGATCACTTGACATGTGCCGTTGTCGTACAGCTGTTGAACAAGGTTGATGAATATTTGGGATACGCCGTAGTAGTACTCGAGTAGTTTCCAAATGACTTCACGGTCAATGCTGTCTGTCGAAGGCCTTCTCGAAGTCTATAAAGTTGAGGTAGAGGTTTAATTACCATTCCATGTCGCATTTTTTCAGGTGAATGAAATGACTAGAACTGAGTCTCCTAACCATCCTCAAATTTAATCCAAACGTCAATTAAGACGACCATAATATAAATAATAACTGATATAAGTATAAAACTTGGGCACTGTGATAGAGTATAACTCCATTATAGATAAGATTTTATTTTTGATAAATCATGCAGGGTTATACAGTAAGTAATACTAACTGATGACGTTTCCATATCTCCGGTATTTGCATTGAGTCATTTCTGTTACATGTGTTGGTTGTAGACCACTCGATGAACCAGTATTGAGTAATCTCTCTCTCTCTCTCTCTCCACCTACCTATATTACTTCTTAGAATTTTAACCCTCTCTCACCACCCTTTTGTGTGGTTGTGTGTTAATGCATACAGTGCAATCGCTGAGCTTTTTTCTAAATTACTTATCTTCCCGGGTGGGGTCAACCATTCTTACGTTGGCTAAATTCTTATGTTCCGACAATCAGACTAACCCCGACCTACTAGTTTGACCTATGTAGTTGACCTAACTGACAGTCATTGCAAGGTATTTTGTAAATTGTATTATTTTGTTTAATTGGCTTCACCTGGTCTTTTGTTCCACAGAGCTCGTCTCTGAGTGAGTTTGTAGGTTTTAATGCCACTCTAATTCTTGCTCTATTGAGAATCCTACTTAGCTTCTCAGATGTCCCCACTTTATGTGGTATAACTGTAGATGCCTTGTAGTCATGATGCTACAGGACTGGACTACATTGACTCCTAGCTTCGAAATAGGGGGTGAATTGGTAGAGCACGCTGACCACTTCACTTATTCGGGAAGTCGCATCAGTCAGTTCCAACGGGTTGATCGCTGACGAAAATTTCAGCACGGATACAGAAGGCTCATTTTGACTTCAATCTGTGACCATAAACAACGGTGAGAGCCATAGAAACACCCCAGGTAGTCTTTTAAAGCCACGTCGCCAAATTCGTATAGGAGCATTTAACGTCAGGACCCTCTGCCAAATCGGATAACAGGCATCACTAGCAAGAACTCCGGCATCTCGAGCCATGGAAGTATGTGTTTCGGAAACATGCATACAAGACCCGAGTGTGGTCATTCACTTAACCTCACCCGGTCAACAAGGTGAATCTGCAAATTTCACTTTAAGGGTGTCAGGAGACTCCTCAACTACCTTGCGAGGACTCGCAGGTGTAGGCATAACACTGAGTGTTAGGGCGGAAAAATCGCTACTTGACTGGATCCCAGTAGAAAGTTATTTGCGTACAGTTCATGTGAATCGGTCCGTCAGAAGAAGGAAGGACAGCGCCACTCGTCGTTGTCTTTTCATGGTCTCCGCTTACGCCCCAACAGACTTCAGTTTGGGTGAACTAAAGGATGATTTCTACCTGAAACTGTCTAGTTTCCTGCAAAAAGCAAAACGCTTAGATATAGTTGTTTAAGCAGGCGACTTCAATGCCGAAGTAGGGAAGTTGTTCCAGATTGATAAGTATGTAGGTGGTACGTACGGAGTTCCCTGCCGACGAACGGATAACGGTGATCGTCTTCTACAGTTTTGCTCAGACAATCATCTGTTCCTAGTCAGCACTAACTTTAGACACAAAGAGAGACATTGTGTAACCTGGTGACCTCCATCACCAAATCAACGCTGGACTCAGATCGACCACATAGCCATAGGGTATCGTTGGTGAGGGTCAATAGGAGACTGTCACTTCTTCTGGAACACGTGCGTAGACTCTGATCACGCTCTGGTTCGCACACCTTTATGCTTACGACTAAATGGACATAAGAAATTGACGGTAGCGGAACAGTTGCGTCATCAACTAGATCGAGACACTGAGTCCCTATTTAAGGAAGAAATAGAGAAACGAATGTCTGAGGTCGACACCAGAACTTCCCCTGAGGTAAAATGGCACAACATACAGTTAGCTGTAGACACAGCTGTAAAAGCTGTTAATAAGCTAAAACCAAAAGTTAGTAAAAGCCATTGGATCTCTACCGCCTCAGCCGAACTGATTGACTCAAGAAGACTGATTCCAACAAGCTCCGATTATGATGAGGAACGAAAGCTACTCAAACGAAAACTAACAAGAAGCCTTCGCCACGACCGTAAACAGTGGTGGGCGACAAAAGCGAAGGAGATGTGAGACAAAGGAATAGTAATAATGAAGAACAAAACAGTTTCACTGGAAACCATAAGTCACAAGGAGTGGATGCATCTGTGCCAGCCATTGAGAACGATTTTGAGCCATGTCACCAATTGTTCCCAACCATAGGTTTTTACCGTTCCGAGGACTCCAACTAGCCAGTCAGGAAGTCTACACCTTCCTACGTGGCTTAGACTAACTGTTGTAGATTTCATTGACTGGTGCCAAGTTTTTGTTTGACTGCCGCTAGCTTTTATCCAGCCTGATCCTGTGTCAGCTAACATTTCCCGTCAGTGGAGGAAGGTGATGACTAGGAATACGTAACACGTGTCCTAACCATCTCAGTCGATGTAACTTCACAACCTCGTTGATTGATTTCCCCTCCTTACCTAGCACTCAACCGATGCCTAACATCAATATTGCTCACCTTATTATACCACTTACCACACACACGGGAGATAGAACGCAGGCACCTATGATCAAAGACAGCTAATCTTTCCATGTCTTCCACTCTCAATGACCACGTCTCACAGCTGGCCATAAAGGGGTACGGAGTGAACTGATGAGCAGTACACTCGACCTTTGGTCGATAGCCAGCCAGCCGGATATCACGTCTACGCCAGAGACGGCGTAAACTGGCAAATGCAAAACCAGCCCTCTGTATCCGTACTCAGCTGAGATTTCGTCAGAGATCAACCCTTTGGCGTTGGCTGATGGTACTTCCCAAATAATTGAAGCGGTCAACGTGCTCTACCACTTCACTTCCTATTTTTAAACTAGGAGTCGGTGTAGTCCAGTCCTGTAACATCATCTTGCATAAATAGAACTAATTACTTTGAAATTAATAGTAGTCGAAATACGATAAATAACTTTATATTATGCTTAATAATTTATATCAACACAATATTCACAAGATGCGCTAAAACAAAGCTACGAACAGATGTGTTGATTGTTATCTGGTCTAACTATTCAGAATGATCAAAAACGCTGCAATGAACATACCCTAGTTGTGTTCGCCGAATGTGTAACTACCTCCACAAGAGCAATTAAACTGGTCTGGTAGTTATACATAATGGAGGCAAGAAGGAAGGAAAGAAGGAAGATGAACTACCTAATTTCGCCATCATCTAGTTTCTAGTACTATCTTTAAATTTCTTTTGACCCCTACCTAATCTTTTGTAAAAAATTCTTTTTTATAATAAAGGCGGCACTGGGTTGTTCGTTAGCTGAAAGACTTGAGAAAATCAGTACCATGAAAAATTTAACAACTCGTCAGCTTAAACGATTGCTGAAGGATGTTCTAACTAACGAACATATTGTGAGCGCTTTACACAGATATATTGTTGGAGAATTTAAAGAGCCTGAAACTGGTGAAATTTCAGCCGCGACACGGAGACGAGCCAAATCGTTGGGATTGTTTTCCATCCTTAGTGAACTTGGAGTAATGTCAAATCATAATGTGCAATCCAGAGCTGTTACTCGGTAATTTGTAATTTTACAGCTTTTGTTAGTTAAAAAATAAGATGGTCTGTTATTATTATTATTATTATTATTATTATTATCCTTTAATTCCTAGAGGAACAAAGGGGTTAAGCTGCGCATCTCCGTTGCCTTCGGTTTTCTGCCAACTTTTTCACCCCGCTCCGAGTCCGCCCACATGCTTTGATCTCCTCTTCACATGACCTCCTCCAAGTCACCCTTGGATTGTCCGTTGTACGAGATAGTGGTCTGAACCAACGTCTGCTCCTCTTCTTACTTTTGTGTCTAGTCGGCTGCGCCTCCACTTCCTTGAGCAGCATTGAGATGAAGTCAATTTGGTTTTTGGTTTGCCAGTCTGGTGACACCCATGTAGCCTTGTGGGGATATCTTTGTGTTTGTATACGCTGGCACCAATCACTAGTTCGTTGAAGGCGCCGAAGTCGGCGAAGAGTTCTCCATTTTCATTCATTCCTCCGAGAGCTTCTCTACCCATGATGAGTTCCCTTCCTGTGTTGTCTGGTCCCAATTTGGCGTTCATGTCTCCCATTGAGTATTTTAATGTCACCAGCTGGAGTATTGTCCATTGTTGCCTGTAGTTGTCTGTAGAATTCTTCTTTCTTTTCGAGGTCTGCGTTGTTTGTGGGTGCATAACATTGTATAATTGATACTTTCCTTCCTTTGGAGTTGAATCTGGCGGTCATTATCCTGGACGAGGTCGCCATTGCATCATTGCATCAGGGCCTTTGTTTCCGTTGGTGACATCATGATAGGCACGCTTTCGGTGTGCGTGTGGTTATCTTCTGGGTGACCGGAGTAGATCACTGACTCAATCACCCGTTGACAATTTGGTGAGTCCATTCCCATTCCATCTGCTTTCACATATTCCTAGTACTTGGATTCCATATCTTTTCATCTCGCTTGCAATCCGGGCAGCTTTGGCAATCTTGTACATGGTGCAGACGTTCCATGTCCCCACACAGACTTTTTCTTTTGGCGCAAAGAGATTCGACATCGTGCTGAAGTTTTTCGAGCAAAATTACCAATAACAAAACTTATCATTGTGTGTAAGTCATTGAAATATATAGTTATACTTTATTTGAACTATTTCACAAACTTCTCAAACTTTTTACTGACATTAATATTGTAACACTGGCCATTTCTTATTCTGTATTTAATGAAAGTCATTTATGTGGCAATACTGTAAATGGCCTTAGTTACCTGGCTGACTCTCTTCTCTCATACACTTATTTTAAAGGAGCTCAAGAATGATCCTGTTTAAGATCGAATACAGCGTCTACTAGATGTGATTTGTTCAAAAGCATCACGAATATGTATGATATAATGTCATGAATGTCATTGCTGAAGTGATGTGTAAGATTTGGTCGGACTGTTTTGGTTCTACCGCTATTTTTGTGGTGAGCAATTTCTTTTGAATTTTCGGTTTTGTAGGGATTTTGTGTGATTGCATGGAGGATTTCACCATGAGCTGACATCAGTTAGAGAACCACTGGAAAACCTGGGAGTACTGGACAGCTACTTTGTCCTAGTTCGGGACTCTTCAGTAGTACGCACCCACCTACCGGGTCCCAGTGGCTCAGTGGTCTATGAGCTCGTCTTGTAACCACAAGGTGCTGGGTTCTAACCCTGGCGAAGGGTGCGTACTGCTGAAGAGTCCCAAAGTAGGCTGACGAAACAGCTGTCCAGTACTCCCAGGTTTTCCAGTGGTTCTCTAACTGATGTCAGGTCTTGGTGAAATCCTCCATGCAATCAAACAAAACCCCTACAAAACCAATACTTGAAAATTAATCTGATGCTCACTAGTGACTGGCCCTATTCAGGCAGTTAACCTGGGGTTATAGTGGGAAGCCGTGACCAGTAGGGTAGAGCAGGTTGAAGATGAGGCAGTAACTCATCGAAGAAGACATTGTGAAGTGGTCGCGCTATGTCGTGAATTGGCAGAAGTTAGAATCCATGAGCTGGCCATTGGATCGGGTCCCAGTGGCTCAATGGTCTACGAGCTCGCCTTGTAACCAGAAGGTCCTGGGTTCGAACCCCGGTGGGTGGGTGCGTACTGCCGACGAGTCCCAAACTAGACTGACGAAACAGCTGTCGAGTACTCCCAGCCGGTTTTCCATTGGTTCTCTAACTGATGTCAGCTCATGATGAAACCCTCCATGTTTTGAATTTCTTGGACTTTTAATCAAAAGTGTAAAAACGTTCCTTGAAATAGCTCGGGACTTATTTATGCATATGCCTGCTACATTTGTTGTTCTTGTTCAGCATGACCCAATCCTATATGAATTGTCCGGCCGGTAATAACACCAGTTTTTTGTAGTAGAAGTAAAACAGATGCTATCATCTGTGTATCTCTATTGCAAGCATTTTCATCAGTATTCACATTACTTAATCTCCTGCTTTGAATTTATGCCAGAGAATTGAACTCCACTTATTTTTGTTTGTGTTGAACTTTTTCAGATCACTTACTCGTCGAGTTGAAGAGTCATTACCAGACGACTTATCATCACATTCTCTTGCTACAAATGTATGTTCTGAGGAAACTGGAAATCATGATCCTACTGGATCATTTCAACTAGAAACGACTGTTGAACAGTCACCACCACCACCTAATCATTCTCTAAGCTTTCTTGATAAGGACGACGAAGACGGAGAAGAAGGAGTAGTAGCAGATACTGTAGAGGAAGGAAGTACTGATAACAACGTGACAAACAAAAGTGTAGATGCTGAAGATCCAGACAATGATGTTGTTTACTCTCAGTTTCTTCGATCATTATTTGCCTCTCCTTGTAATTCATCAAATTGTACACCTAATAAGGTATGTTATAAAATATGCATAAATGACATCAAATGTATTCACTTGTTGCACTTTCCATCACTTTGTTATATTTATTGAGTGTGTCGGTGGCACATTGGTAGAGTGCTCGCCTCCCCCCTTCGGGTGGTCCGGGGTTCGATCCCCGACCAAAGCACTCCTTTACCTCGGTAAGCCAGTAATAAGCTTCTGTCTGTCAGATAGATAGACAATAAGCCTTTTGCTTGAAGCTCTATGTTCCACTGGGAACGTAAAGGAATAAAAGGTGTCTCTGAAACACAACATTCAACGATGTCTCGAGATGCCAGAGTTCCGGCTGGTGATTCTGTTGTCCGACATAGTAAAGGGTCTTGATGCTCCACTATAAAGTTGATAGCATGGTTTTTTGAGACATTTAGTGTTTTCTGGTTCTCATCGTCCACTTACGGTGTCAGAGTTGAGTTGACAGTGAGGGGTGATAGGACAAAGTGGTTGATGATCAGGAGAGCTTAGTGTGCTTCTGGAAGTGTGGGTGGTGTGCGTCGGTGGCACAGTGGTTAGGACTCTCGCCGACCATGCACATGGTCCGGGGTTCGAGGTCGCACCGACGCACACCCGGTATCTATGGTCGGCCTGCAAAATTTGGGCTACCGATATCCACGCTGAAAATTCCATAGTTGTACCGAAAATACAGTGTGGAATCAAGCTGTAAATAAAAAATAAAAAAAAATAAAATAAATATTTCCTTTCTATAACGTGGAAGTAGATTTCTCCTTTTGTGTTACCTGAAACACAAGGACCATTAATGTTGCGTGATCGCAGAGCCCAGGAGATAACTGCTTCAAACTGGTTACACACAACTTGTTTGAAGTGGATCTGGAGTTGTGTGTCCGTCGGTGACACAGTGGTTAGGACTCTTGCCAACCATGCACATGTTCCGAGGTTCGATCCCCTGCCAACACACACCTGATATCTATTATCGGCCTGCAAAATTTGGGCTATCGACATCCTTGCTAAAAATTCTATACTTGTACCAAAAATACAGTGTGGAATCAAGCTGTAATCAAAAATTAAAATTAATTTCATTAACTGTCATATGTTATTTATTAACCTACGTTATAGGATATTCTTGAGTTAATAGCATGGAAAGCTTTATCCATGTACATATCTTTATTTTTCGTCTCTTCTCTTCACAACCGTTGGTTAAGTATTCGCTTTTCCTTCATAAATTTCGACCGGTAGCTTTCGTATTTTAAAGTGGTTTTAATGAGAGGCACCTAAGTCATCATTGGCGTTGGATAACCAGTCTGTCCCTGATCACCCATTTAGTGTCTCCACCCTTTACATATCATTATTTGAGATAAGTGTCGTTAGAGACTTCTATGATTTCAAATTAGATAAGGAATGGACATCGGTCCGGTATTGTGTGTGTGTCTGTGTCTGAAGAGTCCCATACCAAGACGAAATAGCCGCTGAGTTCCCAGTGTTCTTTTCCAGTGTTTGTCTTGTTGATATCATTCGTGGTCGGACTTAAAATTAACTAAATCCCCCTGCAAAGCAGCAACACTTGAAAGTCTTTGAATGTTTTGCAGTTGTATATTGATTGGTAGTGTGATTTTTAAAGTATAATGGACATTTCGAAGAAGAAGAAGAAGAAGTGACGGTGGCGGAGAACTGAATAAAAGGCAGTTGTGTGAAACAATTAAATCACCTGATAAAGTGATATTTTCACTACAGTAGGTATCTTGAAATACAAATCAATCTAAATTTAACAAAATGTTTTTGATGTGGTTGTGTTCTCTGAGCTGGCTAGATGGTTGATTTGCGAAGCTTTCATCACCCTACTACTAGGTGACATCTTCCTTCAGCGCACACTTCAATTTGAAATGAAGTGAGCTTTTAGATTTCTCCACGAGTTTATTGATCATCTCTCCTGGTGGTGACGTTGGACATCGTGATTGGTTGTTTTTGTGTGTTTTCACACCTTCTAGGTTACTTGTATTCGGAAAGCACAAAAAAATCGGCTCACAATATATAAAGGATATCTCAGAAATCACACTACAAGACTCTTCAAACCTTTAGGAATTGACGTCGTACACAAACCAACAAAGTCACTTCACTCAATTCTGTGTCAACCAAAAGACTCAACAGTGAATGAAGATAAAACAAAATAAATTGTGGCAACTGCGAAAAACACTATATTGGTCAAAGTAGACGTCCCCTTCGTCTTCGTATCCACGAACATAAGCTAGCTGTCAAAAGACATGATATCCACTCCCTCATATCACTGCATACAGACAACCACGGACATCAATTCGACTGGGACAACCAGCGTTCAGATATTAGACAGAGGAAACAACAAGAATGCTAGAGAATTTTTAGAAGCTTGACTAGTATTCCAGTGAATCATCAATCAATAGGCACATCGACATAGACAAAATTTATCAATCAATAAGAAAGAAACTTCACACACAAAGGGTCAAAGTTCAAGTCAAAGAAACAATCACTTCCAATGCAAGTAACCTAGAAGGTGTAAAAACATACAAAAACAACCAAAGAGTCACGTCCATGATCACCGACCAGGAGAGATGATCAATAAACTCGTGGAGAAATCTAAAAGCTCACTTCAATTCAAATTGAAGTGTGCGCTGAAGGAAGATGTCACCTAGTAGTAGGGTAATGAAAGCTTCGCAAATTAACTATCCAGCCAGCTCAGAGAATACAACCACATCGAAATCATCCACCTGAGCTAAAGTCTTCCCTATCATATTTAATCAAATGTATACTGAACAGTTGTAGGATCTCAGTTGTTGGTTGATAAATATTTTTTCAAACTTGATTGTTACATTCCAAAGCCAGTAAAGATTCTACTACTATTCCGTTTATTTTTCCAACCATCACTTTCGAGGGAGATAATACACACTAGACTATTGATGGTTTCAGAAGTTGCGTTGTTTTGTGTCTGTCTGTCTGTCTGGATTCAACATAGAACTTGCCACCGAAGTGCACCAGTTCAAGTTGCCACGTTCCAAGTAGCACACAGAGGTAGACAAGAAGATGAGTGAAGAGAATCAATAGAGTTTGACAAGTATAAGAGTGAAACAGAATGGGTAATGGTAGGAAGGAATATGAAAGATTACAGAGACTGAATACTATATCTGCGCTAGCCATTGACAACGATTTTGAGCCATGTCACCTATGGAAATCATAAGTCACAAGGAGTGGATGCATTTATGCTAGCCATTGAGAACTACGATTTTGAGCCATATCACAAATTGTTTCGAACCATTGGTTTTTACCGTCCCGAGGACCCCAACCAGGAAGTCTACACCTTCCTACGTGGCTTAGACTAGCTGTTATAGATTTCATTGACTGATGAAGCCATGTTTTGGTTTGTCCGCCAGTAGCTCTTTTCCAGCCTGACTCTATATCAGTTAAGATTGCTCGTCTAGGAAGGCGGTGACTAGGCAGTCATGCGTAACACATGTCCTAACCATCTCAGTCGATGTAATTTCACAACTTTGTCGATTGATTTCCCCTGCTATTTACCTAGAACTCGACGCCTAACCTCAATATTGCTCACCTTATTATAATCAACTAAATAGTGGCGGTTATCACTGTTAAAGTGCAATCCAATCCTTTGAAATGTTAATCTGTCGAAAAACGCGTGTACAGGTAGGTGTCGGTCTGGTCAAGGTAGACAATCTCTCCTCAAAATAAGTTAGATCAACAATCTGTAGACAAAAATTTTAAAGCAATTAGTTCCTTGTATGAATTTCGACAACACAATAAGAAGACGTAGTTTATCTTTGAAACGTGTAATGTATTGGCGCAACACATTTCGGACATTCTGATCACACACCCGGGTACTTGTCATATACAGTTTTTATAGAAGGCAAGAAGGCATGAATAATTAATTACAATACAGGTCAGATTGTGTACAGGTCAAGATCACAAATAATAATGGGTAGGGAGACGCAAATGGTGTGGGTAGGAAAGATAAAGAGAGGAGAAACAAAGGAAAGAAGGGGTTTGAAAATATTACTAAGTAGGATTGGTCCTTGGTTCTAAATTGGATTACCAAGGCAGGTTTAAGGTGATAACAAATAACTTTTGGACGCATAAGACACGTTTAAGTCTTTTTATGGATAAGGCTTCAACGAATTTAAGTATGTGACCCAAGCTTGTTATCTATATCGGCTTAAAGGTATTGTTAAAACCAACCTTATGACCCGTCTCTATAATATGCTTCGCTATAGATGATGTTGGACATCTATTTCCGGGGTCAATTGTATCTGGCGATTTCATTTGTTTTTGTAGCCACTTTGGAATGTGTTCTGTAGCCCTAACATACAGAGACCGATGGGTCCTCTCTATGTACGTGTCTCCACACATACATGTAAATTGATAAACACAGTGGGATGTGACACCATCGTTCGGATAATGTGAGGGTTTACAGGACAGCAAAGTTCTCGTTTTCTCTATGAAGATAAGTTTAGCTGCATAATAGGTTCTATTAATTGCGGTCTTAAGTCTTTGTTTATCAGTTTACATGTATGCCTTCTTGCCTTCTGTAAAAAAACTGTGTATGACAAGTACCCGGGTGTGTGATCAGAATGTCCGAAATGTGTTGCGCCAATACATTACACGTTTCAAAGATAAACTACATCTTATTGTGTTGTCGAAATTCATACAAGGAACTAATTGCTTTAAATTTTTGTCTATAGATTGTTGATCTAAATGGATTATATTATTGTTTAATGACTGCCTACTGCCAATAAATTCTATTATCATTCCTTCCTATTGTCATTTTTTTTATTTATTTATTCATAGTCCAACTCACGAATAACTACTCCAATAAAGTCATCTGCAATCTGTGAAAATCGTTTAAGAGATGACTCAAATAGCGTTCAACCTCTTTCATCAGATAAATGTCATTCTGATGTTCAGAATTCTAAGACAATAGAACTGTCACTTTCTTCACAATCGCCTATTATGCGATGGAATATAAATGTGGTAGATGAGGACGAGGATCCAGATGATCCAGAATTCGATGTAATGGCTGAATTGAATAAAGTTGATAAAGAGGACTTTTTCTATGAATTGAGAAATGATCGTGGTGTTCGAGTTTCGAAGAGGGAGACGAAAGTCAGTAGTAACACATTTACTATTGTAGTTTTATTCATTTTTAATCCTTTTTAATCAGATATGTGTTGTGTTGTGTGTGTTGGCTGATTTATTACCTACCACCACCACCTACACTTTCATCTTCTTCCTGTGTTCCTTTCGACTTTCGCTAAATTCACAATTTGTGGCACAGCGGTGTTATCCAAAGTGTTATTGGAGGTAATTAGTTGTTTTCACAGTTAGGCTAACATACGTTAAAACTTTGAGATGGTATCCCATTCAGATTATCTTTCCTATTTCATAAGTCTTATTGTGTTGAAATTATTATCATTATTATTATTATCATAATATCCTTTAGTTCCTAGAGTAACATAGGGCGGCTTCAGCCGCGCGTCTCCATAGCCTTGGGTTTTCTGCCAACTTTTTCACCCCACTCCAAGTCTGCCCCCACATGCTTTCATCTCCTCTTCACTTGACCTCATCCTCCAAGTCGCCCCACCCTCGCACTGACGACCAACTCGCCGCTTCCCTTTCGGGTTCCACTCGACGGCCTGTCTAGAGATAACACTTTATGGTTTGTTGTCTCAGCGTATGGCCAATCCATCTCCATTTCTTTCTGCCTATTTGTTTCACAATCGGTTCCTGCTGAGTTGGTTCGCTCATTGCCAGCGATCTCTGTTGCTGATCTTTCCTCGTCCGCCATCTGATCTTGAGTGGTATTGAGCGAAGACAGCTAACTGTTAATGAAGGTCTGAAGTTTGTTTGAGAGGCTCTTTATGACGCGCTGGCCAAGTCTCTGATCCATCCGTACAGTAGAACTGACTGACTTCCCATTGGAGTTGAAAATCCGGATGTTATTTTTGATGGTGAGTGCTGAGTGTTGACCTCCACACAGACTTGACGTGAGTCATGAAAGCTTGTCTTGCTTTTTCGATCCTCGCTGCTTGGATATCCTCGTCAGTTCCATTCGCCTGTAATTGAAACGATGCTTCTCAGGTAGGTAAAGAAGGTTCCTCCCATTTATGCTGGCTGATTGTTGTCTGTTGTTGTTGTTGCTGTTGGTGTTGGCCAGGAATCTTCATCACCTCTGTTTTATCTATGTTCACCTGAAGGAAGTCCTATCTTCTCTGGATGCTTCTTCTGCCAGCTTGTTGCTTTTCACTACTTGCATATCTTCCAGTTTGTGGGAAATCAGACATATATCATCATCGGCGAAGTTCACATCCTCCAAGTTATCTTTTGTGTGAGTCCATTTTATGCCTGTTTCCTGATTAGCCGTTGTCTATCGCATTATCCAGTTTACTGCGATCCGGAAGATCATTCTTATAGGCATCAAGCTTGCTTATTTTGAAGCACAGTTCCCTATTGATCTGTTTGATCCTTTCGAATATTGCATATAGAATTACAATGCGTTGCAGTAATGTTTCACTTAGTTTAATGACCACATTCTACTAGATGGTTGGAGGCAATCGGCCACAGGAAGCCTTGGACACCACCTAGGTTTCGTGCTAGTTGGCACCCGTCAGCAAGGCGTATCTGCAACCTTGAAGGAACTCATGTCCACCATCTGAGATTCGAACCCGCGTCACCCAATTCTGCAGTCAGAGACGTTACCACTGAGCTATTCGGGCTCGCGATTGACTGACTGGAGCACTGGGTGACGCGGGTTCGAATCTCAGATGGCGGACATGAGTTCCTTCAAGGTTGCAGATACGCCTTGCTGACGGGTGCCAACTAGCACGAAACCTAGGTGGTGTCCAAGGCTTCCTGTGGCCGATTGCCTCCAACCATCTAATACCATCTAATCAATGTTCACCGTGATGGCCAGCTACCCAGTGGCATGGTGGCCACATTACAACCTGACTGATAAAATTCAGTCGGCACCAATGAGGGAACTAGACACATCACACTAGTTACTAGTGTCAAATAAAAATGACCACATTCTACACCTGGTAGGGGAATTTTGATCAATACACAATTAGGATTACACATTTTTTGCATTGGTTAGCATCAGGGATGACCTGCATTATTGGCTGTGCAGTCTATCGACGGATCAACGGAAGAAACTAGCTTGTGTTCAAATCCCATTAGAAAAACAAACAACACCTTTTCATTTCTCACTCTCGGTCATCATTGTTAATCCACAAATGTTAATCTATGGACAAATTATGCAGTCTTACCGGTAATAATTGTGAGGTTGACAAACACTATAAAATTCTATAGAAATTGTTTTGTACAAGTTGAAGGGGTTTATACGATAGGTAACAGGAAAGCCCAGGCAAAATTGAGTAGGAAGTTTACATTGACTTTCATCTTATGATTAGTTAACTAAATATATCATATCATATCCATCGCCAATCACCATCAACGGGAGGGATTTGAAAGAGGTTACTTCATTCACTCACTTATCTAGGGAGCATTGTCTCAACTACAGGCAGTCGGAACGGACGAGGATGTCAAATCGAGCGAGAATCGGGTGGTGGGCGAGAAACACATGCATCAACCTGAAACCAATCTGGAAATCTTCGTCACTCAGCCACAATCAACAACAAAATTCGGTCGGATTCAATTCAATACAAACAACGTCAAGTCAGTCAGTTCTTCTATACGGATCAGAAACTTGGCGAGTGAGTCACAAAGAATATTTCCACCAACAGCCTGTTGCAGACCTTCATCAACAACTGTCTTCGCTCTATACTGAAGATCAATCAGATGGCCGGGCTGGAAAGAATCGCCAACAAGAAACTATGGGAACGAACAAAACAAGAACTAATCGCCCAACAAATATGCAGGAGAAAGTGGAGATGGATTAGACACTCGCTGAGGAGGCCGCTGGGTGATCCTCGAGTGGAACCAGGCCAAAAGGTAGGTGGCGAGTGGGACGTTAGTGCAAGGGCGACATGGAGGAGATGGTGTGAAGAGGAGTTGAAACAGTATGGATTAACTAAGATGGATGGTTCAGGTGAAAAGTACAGCAGAAGCAAGTGGAGACGTGCAGTTGGAGCCCTATGTTCCACTAGAAACCCAAGGGAACAACAATAATAATCATATCATATCACTATATCACTTTTATTTGACGTCTGCATTTGATCGTGCTTGCTTTTCAAGCATAGATATCGTGATTACGAAGGTATCCTTGACAAGTATTGCTTCAAGTCTTTCTGTCACTAGGTACATATAAAAGTCATTGATTTATTCCAATACTAATTGGCAGATGAAACCAGCAGACTATTCCAAAGTAGTCAAATGTTGTTTTTTATTTTTAAAGGTGTAATTTATCCAATCTGTTATTATGCTTCATTTAGATACTTTTTTGTGCCTTCTTAGAATCTACGCGCAGATTTACGCACACTGTTTAACTATGGAACTGAGGAACAAGACAATTCTACTTATAATACATCAAGGAGACCGTCAGCTTTAGCAATGAAGGCCTATCGTCAACGCCAATTACAAATGGATTGTACCACAACACCAAATCAAACCGAGAAATTTGACATGACGCGTTTCTTTCAATCCGCTATGCCTTCATCGAAAAGCTTGAATACATCTGTTGTTTCAATCCCAATACGCAAAAGAATGGCGTTAGTTTTGGTTAATTGCTCATTTTTGATTGTCAGTCGGTGTAGAAATTCGAATTATTTTTCTAGTTATAAGTCTGAACTATTTTGCAACAAGAGCAATAATTTGTCGTAGTAATTAAAAATATTAATCACCACATATATAGACGTGTCTAGGCTAGAATACCTTCTAAACACCTTGAGCTGCAATCTACGAATGCTTGTCATGCAATTCGCTCCCGCCAAAAGCAAGATGATGTTACAGGACTGGACTACATCGACGCCTAGTTTAAAAATAGGAAGTGAAGTGGTAGAGCACGTTGACCGCTTCAATTATTTGGGAAGTACCATCAGCTAACGCCAAAGGGTTGATCTCTGACGAAATCTCAGCCGAGTACGGATACAGAGGGCTGGTTTCGCATTTGCCAGTTTACGCCGTCTCTGGCGTAGACGTGATATCCGGCTGGCTGGCTATCGACCAAAGGTCGAGTGTACTGCTCATCAGTTCGCTCCGTCCTCCTTTATGGCCAGCTGTGAGACGTGGTCATTGTGAGTGGAAGACATGGAAAGATTAGCTGTCTTTGATCATAGGTGCCTGCGTTCCATCTCCCGTGTGTGTGGTAAGTGGTATAATAAGGTGAGCAATATTGAGGTTAGGCATCGGTTGAGTGCTAGGTAAGGAGGGGAAATCAATCAACGAGGTTGTGAAGTTACATCGACTGAGATGGTTAGGACACGTGTTACGTATTCCTAGTCATCGCCTTCCTCCACTGACGGGAAATGTTAGCTGACACAGGGTCAGGCTGGAAAAGAGCTAGCCAGTGGCGGTCAAACCGAAACATGGCTTCCCCTGTCAATGAAATCTACAACAGTTAGCCTCAGCCACGTAGGAAGGTGTATACTTCCTGAATGACTGGTCGGGGTCTTCGGAACGGTAGAAACCTATGGTTGGAAAGAATCGGTGATATGGTTCAAACTCATTGTTGTCAATGGCTGTTGCCGATGCATCCACTCCTTGTGACGTATGATTTCCAATGAAACTGTTTTGTTCTTCGTTATTACTATTCTTTTGTCTCACACCTCTGTTTGCTGTCTCCAGTTTGCATTTCTTCTACTTTCTTCTATTGCTTTGTGTGCTACATGGGGGGGGGAGGGAGTGTGGCGACTTGAAGTCCCGCACATTTGTGCAAAGTTCCATGCCGAAAACAGACAGACAGAATACCTACGCATCATTACCGAATCGCTTGACATGTTTTAAGATGAACATTTTACTTGTAAACACTACGTTCTCCACCAACAAGCGAGCTATTGTTAGTATTTGTTAGTAATTCTAGATGTCTTTTTCTTTTTAGTAACTAACACGTGTATTTTGTTGTCCAGTAGTGATGCTCCAGGTAGATTTTAGGAACAACATGACTTCTTATAGGTTGCTCTATTCAACCACACAATTTCACGGAAATGTATTTGAAATATAACACGCAGTGATGATACAGTCTGGAAAACTTGATGATATTTGGAGCGCAATTTATTATTGCTCATAATCCTATCCTATTAATGGATTCACACAGCTTCATGATTCACGAAATATATAAATGTGTATATTTCTTTTTCCCTTGTTGTTATTCATTGAAATTTCCCTCATATATCCAAAAGTACACAAAGCCTCCAGATCATCATTTTTCTCTTTGCCACTGTCACCCTCATCATCTCACTTCCCCTTCTTCGTCGGTGGCACAGTGGTTAGGACTCTCGCCGACCATCCATGTGGTCCCGGGTCCGAGCTCTCGCCGACGCACACCTGATATCTATGGTCGGCCTGCGAATTTTGGGCTACCGATATCCACGCTGGAAATTCCATACTTGTACCAAAAATACGGTGTGGAATCAAGCTGTGATCAAAAATAAAATAAAAAAAAATAAATCAATACTGTCAGTAGTACTTTGCAGGCTAGCCAGTCATCTTCATCCTATTTTTGTGACCACAAATAACGATGACAGCTATAGAAACAGCCCCGATAGCGTCTTAAAGGAACGCCCGGCGACTTCATATTGGAGCATTTAACGTCCAAACACTCTGCTAAATCAGACAACAGACATCACTAGCGAGATCTCTGGTATCTCAAGCCATGGATGCATGTTGTCCATCGGAGTAACGCACACAAAGCCCTAGTGTAGTTTTATATTGATTTAGCCCCACTCGATGAACAAGGTGAATCTACGAAATTCGCCTTATCGGTATCCCGAGACTCCTCAGTTAGCTCACGGCGACTCGCAGGTGTAGGGATAGCACTGAGTGTTAGGGCGAAAAAATCACTTCTTGACTGGATCCCAGTAGATAGTCGTATGTGTGCGGTCCGTGTGAATCGGTCCGTCAGAAGAAGGAAGGACAGCGCCACTCGTCGTTGTCTTTTCATGATCTCCGCTTATGCCCCAACAGACTGCAGTTTGGGTGAACTAAAGGATGACTTCTACCTGAAACTGTCTAGTTTCCTGCAAAAAGCAAAACGCTTAGATATAGTCGTTTAAGCAGGCGACTTCAATGCCGAAGTAGGGAAGTTGTTCCAGATTGATAAGTACGTAGGTGGTACGTACGGAGTTCCCTGCTGACGAACGGATAACGGTGATCGTCTTCTAGAGTTCTGTTTAGAAAATCGTCTGTTCCTAGTCAGCACTAACTTTCGACACAAAGAGAGACATTGTGTAACCTGGTGACCTCCATCACCAAATCAACGCTGGACTCAGATAGACCACATAGCCATAGGCTATCGTTGGTGAGGGTCAATAGGAGACTGCCACTTCTTCTGAAACACGTGCGTAGACTCCGACCACGCCCTGGTTCGCTCACGTTTATGCTTATAATGAAATGGGCATAAAACACTGTTGTCAGAGAGGCAGTTACTTACGTCCCAAACTAGATGAAAACCCTGAGCCTCTATTTAAGGTAGAAATAACTAAACACGTATCGGAGATGGACAGCAAGACTCCTCATGAGGAAGCCTGACGCAATATACAGTTAACTGTGGACACAGGTGTAAAAGCTGTTAATAACGTGAAACCAAAAGTTAGTATGGATTTCTACTACCTCATCCGAACTGATTAAGGCAAGTGGAGTGATTCCAGTGAGCTCCGAATATGATGAGCGAAAGCTGCTCAAAGGCCATTGTGAACAGTGGTGGGCGACAAAAGCGAGATGGAAAAGACATCGGTGATAGGTAACCACCAACACTGTTTAGAATTACTAGGGAAGCGGGTGGCAAAAGGCAAATTATAAGTGAAACAACCCCCGAGGAAAATGGCACCTTAATTAGCCCTCAGGATAGACGACTGGAACACTGGAAAGAACACTAGCAGGAGCAACTTAACTGGCCTACAGTCACACTCAACTTACCGAGCATCCAACACCTCCCTGAATTGAATGACATATAAACGCCGGTCCTCCGTCCCCAACCCTAACTGAGGTTACGAAAGCTGTCACTAGTCTGAAACGAGGTAGACGTGGTGGAATTACTTCAGTAGTGTTTAAGGACGCTGGAGACAGTTTACTTTCAGCGTTAACTAAGGTGTATGGCAGCGTCTGGGAATCAGAGGACGTCCCTTTCAGCTGGTGTAAGTCACTAATTATCTTTATATACAAGAAGGGAGACAAGAAGGTCTTCCTGTGATAATCACAGAGGGATTAGCTTGAATAATACGGTATCTAAAGTTCTAGACTGAACAATTATGTGGTGACTAAGTGGTGTTTGAGAGGAAGAAAGACGCGAGAACCAGGCAGGCTTCAGACCAGGAAGAGGGTGTATTGATCATATCTCCACCCTTCGACAGTTTCTGGAACGCAGGTTGCATACTTACCGGTGTCCAACAATCGTCATATTTCTTGACGTGAAAGCGACATTCGATTCCGTCGACCGAGAGTTACAATGGCGATGTTTGGCCGTGAAGGGAATTCCGGGAGTATACATGGCATTAATCAGGGCACTTAATCTATTTTCAACTTATGCAGCTAACCAGGTGGACGACTACGGAGGGTTGTCACCAATTCAGGTGACAACCAGTGGTGTCCGTCAGGGATGCCCATTGCCCCCATTTCTGTTTGATTTCATCATAAATGTACTACTAATGAACTCAACCGTAACTGTCTTCCAAGACTGACTTGTTATCAGAGAATAATAGTCACATTGACTTATAATATGCAGATGATATAGTCCTCTGTGCTAGGTGAAGACGCCAACAAAATGCAGAGTCTTCTGAACACCTTGAGGAGGAGTAGCAATCTTCGAATATTTGGCATGGGATTCACTCCTGTCAAATGTAAGATGATGTCAGGAGACTGGACTACGTTGACTCCTAGCTTAAAGATAGAGGTTGGAGTGTTGGAGCGTGTTGACCACTTCACTTATTTGAGAGGTAGCATCAGCCTTCTCCAGTGGGTTGATCGCTGATGAAATCTCAGCACTCATACAAAGGACTCGTTTGTCATTTTTCAGCCAATCTAGGCAATCTCTGGCTCAGTAGACGTGATATCCGACTGGCTATCGATCAGAAGACGTGTTTGTACTACTCAGCAGTCCACTCCATCCTCATTTATGGCTGGCTGTGAGCCATGGCCATTGGAAGTGGAGGACATGGATAGCCTGACTAGCTATCTTCGACCATAGGTATCTGTGTTCTATCTCCCGTGTTAGGTGTTATAACAAGGTGGGCGATACTGAGGTGAGGCATCGGTCGAGTACTAGGTAAGGATAGGAAATCAATCGATTGAGGTGATTAGGACATGTGTAGCACAGCCCGCCTAGCCATTGCCTTCCTGCTGAATGTTGTATTTAATGCCCTTTGACTTATCAGAAATCGGTGTCTTGCTTCGGTCTGTGCAAGCTTGTTTTTGAACGACATATAGACCACATGCACACATGTTGGCTGGTGGTAGCTTACCAGAAACATTGCGCCTCTAATGTTTCATAAGTAGTCTGTACAAGCTTTCATTACTCACGTCAAGTCTGTGTGGAGGTCAACACTCAGCATTCACCATCAAAAATAACATCCGGATTTTCAACTCCAATGGGAAGTCAGTCAGTTCTACTGTACGGATGGATCAGAGACTTGGCCAGCGCGTCATAAAGAGCCTCTCAAACAAACTTCAGACCTTCATTAACAGTTAGCTGTCTTCGCTCAATACCACTCAAGATCAGATGGCCGGCCAGAAAAGATCAGCAATAGTGAGGGATCATCTCTGGCAATGAGCGAACCAACCCAACAGGAACCGATTGTGAAACAAATAGGCAGGAAGAAATGGAGATCGATTGACCGGCTATACTCTGAGGAAACCATCAAGTAAGTGACATCGCTAGACAAGCCATTGCTCGAGTGGAACCTGGCCGAAAGGGAATCGGCGAGTTGGTCGTCAGTGCGAGGGTGGGGTGACTTGGAGGATGAGGTGATGTGAAGAGGAGATGAAAGCATGTGGGAAGACTTGGAGCGGGGTGAAAAAGTTGGCAGAAAATCGAAGGCACTGGAGACGCGTGGCTGAAGCCCTATGTTCCTCTAGGAATCAAAGGATTTAATAATAATACTAAATAACGCGTCATGTGTAGAATGAAAACTGAAAGCCGACGAAAGACCACTGAATGATAGACAGACATTTGGGTGTGAATTATTAACACATACCGTTAAATAAAGTATCTGAATTATTTGCCATTTGTAAGAAGAAATTCATCCTACATTTGGAAGACGAATTGTTACTTAAATTCAACAACATCCACCCACTTCGCTTACCTTTACTTGTGAAGAGGAGCAGGAGAATAAACTACATTTCCTGGATGTCTTTCTAAGTAGGAGAGAAGATGGGTCACTTGGGAGAAGTGTGTACAGAAAAAGCACATTCACAGGGTAATACACACACTTCCTTAGTTACGTGCCCATTAAATATAAAAGGAATGTTGTAAAATGTCTCGTGCGCAGAGCAAGGAAGGTATGTACGGATGACCTCTTACAAAAGGAATTTGAATATATTCACGATTCCTTGACAGAGATGGGCTGGCTATCCGAGTAGTTTCATAAAGAAACATATGAAACCATCAGAGAAACAACCTGTGACTATGACTGCACATAAGAAATCTCTACTTATTAAGTTACAATTTAATGGTGACTTATCTAGTGAGATTCTATTCCAAAGACTTTCAAGGAGTATACGTAGAACATTTTACGCAGCACACCTATGTTTGTCATTCTCTAGCCGACGAATGATTGGGACGCAAACGAAGGATAAGCTTGACAGTTTTCACACATCTATGTGTATTTATCACTTCAACTGCACCTGCGGTGACAGTTATATTGGGCGTACTACTAGACAGCTTAGCCGATGTGTTAGTGAACATCTCCCATCGTGGTGTGGCGAAGGACACAAAAACAATCCGTAGCTCAATTCTGTCACATCTAATTGATAGTGGTCATGTAGTCGATAAAACGAGAGCCTTCAAAGTAGTTCATCTTATCCCAACGAATCTATCCAATAGACTTCGTATTTGTCTACTGCACACAGCTGAGGCAGGCGATAGGCATTCGAACTATTAAACCTAAACTGTGTATTCAAAAGAAGTTCGTACAGCCATTATCCATCCCTTGGCCTAATAAGACATAACCAACTCAAGACCCCTTTCTTATCATCCCTTAATCTTATCACATCTTCATTAAAAGCGTGTCTCATTTACTTCCCTTACAGTCTAGCATTACTTAATCGGTTCACTTGTTTTTACTAGCCTTTATCGACTACTTCCACCTGAACAATTGTTTGTTTAATCATACTGTTTTTCATTATTCGTGTTATTACAGATTGCCTCACTTTTTCATCATTATTATTATTGATGAGACCATTATTATTATTATTACTATTATCATTACTACTATTATGACTAATTGTACAATTTATATTCACCATCTTATTATCCTATAGACAAAACACCATGATTGGTTTGTATTTGAATTTTTATTTGTAAACTTATATATATTAGAGTTAAGCCTGATGAGATCTAATTGAAAACAGCAATATTGTTCGCTTAAATGTGTTGTTCTAAATTTGAAAGGAAGATAGATATCGAAATGTGAATGAAAACTTCAGCTGCAATCGGATTCACACTAATGACATTCGTACAAATATAGTTTATTTTTTTGTATACTAAGTAACAATAATAATAAATACACAGTAGGGTAAATTAATAAAATAAATAAATAAACTACTTACTATTAGTAAGTAGTATGATGTTGAATACAAAAGAAAGATTTTTAAAAAGCGCCTTGGAAAAGAATTGACGTGCACTAACATTATCCAATTGCGAGTCGGTGGCATAGTGGTTAGGACGCTCGCTGACCATGCACACATGGTCCGGGGTTCGATCCCCTCGGCCAAAGACGACGCACTCCTTTACCTCGCTAAGCCGGAAATAATGCTGGTGTAGAGGAAAGGTTGGGCATGATGAGGCTGGCTAGCAATCCCATCCCATCCTGTAAAACTAATCACTACTACAGAAACTTGAAGCCCTATGTTCCACTGGGAAACGTGAAGGGAAAAACAAAAGTAAAACTGGTTGAACATACCTCCTTTCTATCTGGTAAATATTGTTTGATATTAATTGATTCAGCTCTATATGCTATTTGTAGTAAATCCATAAATTGTATATTAACCAAACTGTGCTTAAAATTATTTCTTAGGATGACAAGCTAATTTATCACTTATGTTATGTCCATTGTTGTTTCAGGTTAACAAGTACAGAACTAGTTCGATTAGAACGTCAATTGGGAATGCACATACAATTGTTGACTACAAGTTTCCTACTGACGTATGATTTTCCTGATATGCACGAATCAACGACACGACCATGTGCATCTCTTCTCAAAACTTTAGTTGCCAAACGTCAGGCTTTTGATTTAATCGCACTTCAAAAAAAAGTTTCCGGTGTTGCAATTCATTCGCTAACTAGCTTCTATTGGCGTTGTCCTACCCTAGACATGGCGGTTGATTTAATTTCTGATTACTCTGGATTATCTATGCTGCCTCGTTCACCATGGAATAATCCTTATAATAAGCCGGGAGTAGGACATGCTGTGAATAAATCGCAATCGTTTGGCTTCCCAATTCCATACTGTTTACTAGATATAATGGTGAACAGTCCTATCTGGTCTTATGCTTATTTAATGCCTACCGTCTTGGGACCTCATCCTAAAAATCAAGTTCGCCTAGTATTTCATCCGTCAGAAGATGCTTTGATGATAATGGGATTGGCAGATTTTTCCGGTGCTTTAATAACCCGTCGTCGTAAAGCTCTTGAATCTAAAGTGTCTAGTCGACGTTGCTTCTCAAAAACTTTAAAGTCTCAAAATAAACAATTAGGACGTTATATTGCCTATCGTTTTATCGGTAGGTATATACTTCCACATCGTACATTTTTACAGTTGCGGTCTCGTCGATGGAATATGCTAGCTAATCGTGATAGCATAGATAATGCAGGAGATTCAAAACCAGTATCACTTGCCACTCGTTATCTACTTCAACTCTATAAGGAATTAAGTCAACCGGATGATGAATTAGATCTTAAAAGAATGCAACAATATGCTAATAAAATGAGTTCTCTTGCTACTCCTTATGGTATACCGCTGATTACCGCATGTTTAACTGATAGAAATCCTCAGAAACTGTTTACTTTTGAAGGACTTCCGACTGAAGTAGGTTATGAGGATGTATTAAGAAGTTATAATAATAATAACTGTGGTGAAAGCGTAAAACGCAAGTTGGATGTACTAACTGAATTCGCGCAAAATGCAAAGTGTTTTTGGAAATCGCAAATGGAAAAGGCATCTCAAACTAAAGAAGCAGAAATAAACTACTTGTCGGTTTTAGACAACGAATCTATGATCAAATCGGAACAATCTATCCAGTGTGATGTTCTCGGTCCAAATTACCTACCTGCTATACCAGTTGATCTTAATCCTGATGGGTGAGTTATCATGTTTTCAACAGTATCTATGCTTAGATATATATAAATATATATATGATCATCCAAATCCCTTCACGTGAAGTGGTTTTCGAACCTTAGACCCAGTTGTGAATTACGAATGGGAAGTAGTTGAGACCGGTGATGAACACCACATGCCTATTTCACATTTGATTCCAAGTTTGCTGGGTTTTTTTTAAATTTTTAATTGTTTACTTGACTTTTCTTGCCTTACAAATTCTTGTGTTATTCTCTCTTTTCACAGTACTGTGGTTCTCAGCAGAACTAGAGAGCCTGGTTTGGTTGAAGTTACCGGGATGACAGATGAGCCCGGGGGGTCAATTTCCGAAAATGAAAACTCGACGAACTTACCAAGCTCAGAAATACAGCAGCATGGTCGTGTGTGCCAGCGTGCTGCATCACGTCATATTGAATTCATCCTGGCCCGTATTAACAAACGAAAGTCAGATACAGTCAGTTATACAAATAAAAATGAAGCACAGCGGAGCGTTGCAGATTGCGATATTTCGAATGGTGTTGCGAAGCCTAGTGTTAGTGATTTCAGTCAAGGCGAACAATTTATTGAAATTTCAAATGTTTTCGAATCTTATTACAATAATAATTATAATACTGGCAATGTAGCGCTAGATGCTTGTCAAAAGGTAGCTGATTCTTTAGTGAACACCTTTCATCTCGGTTTGGATATATTTTCTGGTGATTATGGTTTAGACACATATTTTAGCCTAAAGAAGTTTAACCATTTTGGGTGGCTCGGTCATGTCCAGCCTATTCCGGACTCTCCAGTTGTCATTAGTGATGAGTGTCAATGCCAACAAGCTGGTGTTTTCCCCAGTGCTTGTTTTGTGTCTTCCAGTCGTTTTTTTGCACGTTGTCGTGCACGTGGAGATGCTACTTCAGCTGACCTTTTATCCTTGCCATCTTCGGTTATAGGTCAATCACAAACGCTAATGGATGAAATGGATGTCAGGCGGGCGCGTTCCTTGTTAGATCGATGTCGAACTTATTTAGCTCCCTCTAATTACCGGTTTATGATGCGTTGCTTAATGAATCTTAATCAAGCTGTTCATTATCCCACATCAGCGGTTGGTAGTAATCATGATCAGTTTTCGATTTTTTTTGAAGTTCTTGTATCTCTTGTATGTGTATTGAATTGTTTGAAAAACCATTTACCATTGTGGGAGGATTTCGTTCGCTTTCTGACTCCATCACAAGCCCGTAGTTTGGGTCTGTTTTCCACCTACTTGAATTTAGCTCGCATTGGTCGAGTTCAAAGGGTTTTGCAAGATATTGTTCCTCAAGATAGGAGGTTTTGGAGACGATTGCGAAACTTGGCAGACAGCTGTAGTATTAAAGCACGTTATATGCCAGTTAAAAGGAAGTTATATGTGGGTCCAAATGATGCTTTGCCTGCTGAATCTTCAAACACATCCTAAAATCTCAGCAGTTGCAACGATTTAAGGGTATCTGACGCAATCCAGACCACCACTAAATCGTCTATGACAGAACAAAGTCCTGTGGTGGATAACAATCAGCTGAAGTCTTCACGTTTTAGAAGTGTGCAGCTGAAAGGTGGAGATATGCATGATTCGTTTGCCAAAGCGTGGTCAGTTCTTGAGCGCAGCTGGCGCAATCGTCCTGTCCTTCTATCTTCTATCGCTAGTCTAATTAACACCAGACACAAACCTTGTTCTGGTTTTGAACAGGTGAGCTATCACGTGAATACACATGCTTTACTTTTTAACATACTTTAACTCTTTTTTTTATCTTAATGTATGAAGTCTCAGTGGTGTACATATGTCCAACTTAAATTTTAATTTTGCAGGCATGAGCGCTGGCGTATTCCTTGCATTTCGAAGAATCGAACGGGTGGTTGCCACTATCTTTGATGTGCTCATACTTATTATAAGTGCTTAGAGTAGTACACATTGTTATGCGTGCTACAGAAACGTGTGCAATTTCTGCCTAATTTCACACTATTTGCATTCATACAGAAACTCCAGGAAAATCCCTTTCGGTGTGTTCCCTGACTGACTGACTGGTTTCAACGTAGAACTTTGCACAGACGTATGTGCAGCAGTTCGAGTTGCCACACTTCCCTCATGTAACACACAAAGCAAGGGAAGAGAGTAAAGATAGATTCATAAGAAAGAGAGAGAGAGGGAGATAATGGACAGGAATATGAGGCAAAAGAGATTAGTAATATGGAAACACAATAGAGTTTTGTTGGATATCATAAATCACGAGGAGTGAATAGATGGATCTGCTTTATGCATTGAGACCGATTTTGAGCCATTCATCGACTGTTTCCAGGCATTGGTTCTTACCAACCTGGGAACGCCAACCGACCAGCCGGTCTACATCTCACTACGGGACTGACTGGCTGGCTTAAACTAACTGTTATGGATTTGACTGACTGATGAAGCCATGTTTTGGTTTGATCACCACTTGCTATTTTCCAGTCTGGTGGTCCATCCTAAGTCTGCTAACATCACCCGTCGAGGAAAGCAATGGCTAGACAGGCTGTGCGACACATGTCCTAATCACCTCAATCGATTGATTTCCTATCTTTACCTAGTACTCGACCGATGCCTCACCTCAGTATCGCCCACCTTGTTATACCACCTAACATGGGAGACGACACCCAGTCAGGCTTTCCATGTCCTCCACTTTTAATGGCCATGGCTCACCACAGCCAGCCATAAATGAAGATGGAGTGGACTGCTGAGTAGTACACACACGTCTTCTGATCGATAGCCAGTCGGATATCACGTATACTGAACCAGAGATGGCCTAAGTTGGCATATGCCGAGTGATTGGAACTTTCGTAATGTGCATGTTTCTGTAGAAACGAAAGCTGTTTCTTTTTGCAGTCGTTTTCAAGAATTCAATCACTCTATAGTCGAATAGTGGAATAGTTCACTATTGTCCTTCATTACATGAATAAACAACGCATAATTGGTCCTGCACAGTTAGTTGAAACCGTTTCCCCTGATACAGTTAGAAACCTTTGGTAATGTAACTAAAAAGCTATTTAAGAAGCAGTGCAGATGTATTCATAAGGCATTCACTAAATATTCTTTTATCTTATGGTAGGGAGTGGGGTTACAACAATTTTTGACATTTTTTTCTTTTCACACTCTTGCCGTACATCTTACTACCTACCTTCTAGTTGGTGGGTATATCCAACGTGTGACAACTTGGCCAACTACTTATTGATGGCAGCAGCTTCTATATGTATAGTAGTAGGCGTGTTCGCCTACTTACTTACTTACTTCCTGATAGTGTAACGTGTCATGTTTCACTTTTAACTTGCTATTTCCCACTTATTGGTATTGCTATTATTATTATATCCTTTAATTCCTAGAGGAACATAGGGCTTCAGCTGCGCGTCGGTTTTCTGCCAACTTTTTCACCCCGCTCCAAGTCTGCCCCCACATGCTTTCATCTCCTCTTCACATGACCTCATCCTCCAAGTCACCCCACCCTCGCACTGACCACCAACTCGCCGCTTCCCTTTCGGGTTCCACTCGAGCAATGGCTTGTCTAGCGATGTCACTTACTTGATGGTTTCCTCAGAGTATAGCCAGCCAATCCATCTCCATTTCTTCCTGCCTATTTGTTTCACAATCGGTTCCTGTTGGGTTGGTTCGCTCATTGCCAGAGATGATCCCTCACTATTGCTGATCTTTTCTGGCCGGCCATCTGATCTTGAGTGGTATTGAGCGAAGACAGCTAACTGTTAATGAAGGTCTGAAGTTTGTTTGAGATGCTCTTTATGACGCGCTGGCCAAGTCTCTGATCCGTCCGTACAGTAGAACTGACTGACTTCACATTGGAGTTGAAAATCCGGATGTTATTTTTGATGGTGAGTGCTGTGTGTTGACCTCCACACAAACTTGACGTGAGTCATGAAAGCTTGTCTTGCTTTTCCGATCCTCGCTGCCTTGATATCCTCGTCAATTCCGTCTGCCTGTAGTTGAAACGATGCTTCCCAGGTGGGTGGGTAAATGAGCTTGCTTCTTTCAGGTTCCTCCCATTGCGGACGTTCCATGTCCCCACACGGACTTTTTCTTTCGACTCCCCTTAAAATCGGAATAGAAGGAATAAAACAATCAGAACAACAGCAAAAGGAAAATAATTCACAGCAAAAATGGCAACAAGCGACAACAACAATACAATACAACAACATGCAATACAGTTAAGCACAGTTGACTAAAATGATACGAGAACCATAGACTCACTGACTTGGGCCAACCTGAACATATAAATCCAACAATATATACAATTACAGATATGAGTTAGTGTGAAAAAGTCACAAAATGTCAAACAGTTTGTTATAGGTATTAGTAATCAACAACAAGATTATATCCACAGGTTTAGTGTTTGAAAGTATAAACGGATTGCAATAATTTCCAAAACTTCGTGGTGAGAGAAACACCAGAGAAATGAGAGTTTTATGTAACTAAGCAATTGTAGCGCACTAATCGAAACACAGATTATGGTTTTTGGAAAACCGTCTGATAAGCAGTTTAGAGAATAATAGCTCTGAAGAAACAATCTGTATTAGTGTTGCATGGATTTAGTTAATCGTTAGTGTGATTCGCCTTACACGCATATATTTGCATTCTTTGCATTCTGTCCCTCTGGCTTACAAGTAAGTGAATTATTAAGAAGACAGTTGCAGTGAAGAAAATTTTCTTTTTCGACGAAGTCACCGTCAACTAGACAGCTGTACATTCGTGTATTTATAATAAATGGGTGAGGGGGAAAGTTCCAGAATAATTTCAGGTTAAGGGGCAAATGAATAAAAATTAAAATTAGGAATTAGAGTGCCATAATAAACAGGGGCGGGGGACGGATAAAACTCAAACAAAGTAGCATCATAATAACTAAGAAGATTGACATTGTGCAATTAGGGGTTAGAAATGTAGAAATAACAAGAATAGACAGGATGTTTGGATAAAAAAAACTAATGTGATGAATAATTGTTTATGCAATCAGGGATTAAATATGTAGAAATAGTAAAATGACAAAATAAACACGAAGTTCGGCTATGAAAATATGGTAGTGTAAACAGGGGTTAAGAAAAACTTTTAAAAAATAACATGAATAAACAGGAAGTTTAGATGAGAAAGGCGATAGGATAGTCACTACTAAAAAAATTTGCCTGTTTATGATGGCCATTGCAGGGACAGGGCTTGGACGTATTTCTTTTGGATACAAAGCGTGGCTTTGAGCTTTTGGATAGCTAGCGCCTTGGCTATATGCCCAGATGTCTTGATTTCACTCCCTTTGATTGGTTGAATCTTGTATATTACTTTGAAGGATTTTTCGAAAGGCACTGAATGTCCTGAATTGACCAGATGTTCTGTCACTGAACTGTATACAGTACGCTTTTGGTCTCCTTTTACTAACCAGGCAGGGTAGTGTTCACAAGCGCGTTTATTTCAAGTCGGCGCATGGTACTACGGCCAACGTACTCAGCTCCACAAGAGCAAGTAAACTGGTATAAGATCACTTTCCCTTCATTTTTGTTTTTCTTTTTACTTCAGTACATTGTTCTAAGAATAATAACGAAGAATAATGTCATGTTATTTTATTTGAATAAGGCACTCGGATATACCTCAACCCCTCCTCTTACAGTTCATAAACTCTTGCATCCTACCTATTCTTTATTGTTCACCCTTATTCTTCCCTGGTTTGCTTAAAAAAGACTATGTCACAATTCGTAGAATACTGAAGACTGTCAGTAGGGTGAGTGGTGTCCCAGTGGACCACATGGTTAACATCGTTGTCGATAGGCACTTGACCACGTGCAATAAATTTGCTAAAGGGATTTTGTCTGACTTGGAGCATCCACTTTACCCTCAGCTTTCACCTTGCGTCTCCTCAGGTAGAACAAGTAGTAACTTCAGAAAACTGTATGCTCGAACGTCTAAGTATAAAAATTCTATGATACCATACTTGGCACGTATTTTATGTCATGAAAATAGTGTCAGGCAAGAATTAACTAACCTTTTTCCATCTCGTAAATAAACAATTTCCTCCATCCATCCATCCTTATATACCTTCAAGTTTTACTTTTATTACTTCTATTATATTTATGGTCCTGTTGCTTCTTTGTTTGTTTTACTTTCATAACTGCAAACACCAACTTATCTCTATGACTGCTGTCTGTAATCTTTGTTTTTCCCCTCACCATATCATGTAAAGAGAACATTATATTCAATATTTTTTTGATCATGCTAAGATTTCTATACCGCACCGACGATACTGTGTGAAATAAGCCCACGGGAATTTTTCACTTGTATTATTATTATTACCTTAGCTGTTATCATTATTATTGCTATTTCCATTTTATATGCTGCATGTTTTTGACACTACCTCTATTGTAAATGTGGAACATTTTCTGTGTGATTAATTTATATTTATA